TTTGAGGTCAGGTCTGCCTTCAGGCAGTGGCTTTTTGTTGGAGGCGGAGCTGCCCTCCAAAAATGGCTTTGTTTGGAGGCAGGTCTGCCTTCAAAGCACGGTTTTCTGGAAGGCAAGTTTTTGCCTTCAAGCAAACCGTTCTTACAGAGTAGACCAGTTTTTTTGAAAGCTGATCTGCCTTCAAAAGGAAAGCGGTTCTTGCAGAGTAGGCTGGGCACGGGCTACCTGGCGCGCGAGTTTCAACGCTGCTCCTGGGCCTCTCGAAGACGAACTTCACCGGTTCCACAGGCCGGTCGAGGCCTCAGCCGAGGCCATCTGGCGAACCCAGGATGGTTAGGCGGAAACGGCGACGATACTCATTGAAGCGGAAGCACACCCCGCTCACAGCGGGCGGCAAATCGTCCTTGTTGGACTCCTCGAGGCCACGACGAATCCGCAACTCCAACTCAATTTGCTGACCTGGCTCAGCACAGACCACAAGACACGGCAAGCACTGCCAGTGGAATTGCCAACATGCAGTGCGAACGCAGCGAATGAATAGCAAGCTCCCGACCAAAACAGGTTAGCTTGAAGGATCAAATCAACAAAACTGAAATATGCAATCGATCACAAACTGGATATTGGGCATCAATCGATTCCGCGACCTGCAACGACGGTGACAGCTTCAATACATTTTGACTAGAACCACGCGCGCGCTTCGCGCGCGCTTAGGTTCTAGTCCAGCCCATGGCGCTGTGATGAAACGGAGGTCGGGGTTTCCAGGCGACTCGCAATCGGAGAGGAGTTGTGTCCGTCGTGGGCCGGTTATGGGATGTCGCAGGGCTCCCTTGGGCTGGCTTTGGGGCTTTTCAGGCGCTCTTGTGGGGGGGGCAGGTGTTTGTGGCCCCGATGGCGCCGTCCAGGGTTGCCTCTTCGTTGTCACGACGCGCAGGTCTTGGCTTGTGGGTTCGTCGAGAAGATCGCTGAACAGGCTTGGGGCATTGACTGGCTTTATCATGAAATGTCGAGGCCGTAGGTTGCTGGTCTTTGGATGTCGTCACATGTCCTTGGCTTGTCTTGCCGAACATGTGCGGGAGGGACGAGGAATGACGGAGGACGAGACGAAAACTGCCCTGAAATAAAATGCACGCGCTGCCACGCCAGCTGGCGGAGCACGTGCAGAAGAAACTCAGAGGACGGAGAACAAACTGCCTTAACACATAATGCACGCGTTGTCACGCCGGGTGGTGGAGCACTTGCAGGAAGATCGAAGAAAGACGGACGAAGGAGGAACACAGCCGTGCTATAAAATGCACGCGCTGACACGCCAACTGGCGGAGCATGTGCAGGACGAAGGAGCGGTAACGGAGCACGGAGAGAAAGCCGCCTTGAAACGGCATGCACGCGCTGTCACGCCGGCTGGCGGAGCACGTGCAGGCGGGACGAGGAAAGACAAACAGGAGGCAGAAAGACATATGGAAGAAACAGGAACTCTCTTGAGCCGTCTCGGGTCCTGCTGGGACGTGCCCAGACCGTTTTCGTGTTGTCTCCTCACGCTGTGATAGCTTACCAACCATGTTGGGGCATCTTGGGGCCCAGGTCTCTTTCGAAGTCTCTCGGAGCCCAATTGGAGCCTCTTCGGAGTCTCCTGGAGGTTTCCCGGAGTCCTCCTGGGGTCTCTTGGGAGCCTCTTTGTGTTTTCTTTTGGGCCTCCCAGGGGCCTCTTTCGGCCTGCCCTGTTGGGCACCTATAGGCGGCCTCGGGGGTCATTTTTGGGCAGAGGGTTCCAAATAGCAGCGCGCATTACCCCTCCATCCTGGGGCCCTCTTGGGCCGTCTTCGGGTTTTCTTGGTCCATCTTGGGGCCCTCTTGAGCCGTCTAGGGGCACTCTTGAGAGCCTCATGGGCAGTCTGTGGGCGTTTTTGGAGACCTCTGGGGTTGTCTTCGACAGCGTTAAAACTAAAAAACGAATTCCTGAGGGGATGGAGCACTCTTGCGGGTCCTCTTGGATTGGTCTTGGATCGTCGTGGACGCCTCCCCTCTAGAGCCGCATTGACGGCGGTCTGGGGAACCTCTTGACCCGTCTGGGAGCGTTGGAAGCCCGAAATCCGTCAAAAACGAAAGGAAAATATCTAAATTTGGCCTCTCGGAGCACTCGCCGGGCTGCTGTTTGAACCTTCTTGGGCCGTCTGGAACCTCTGGAAGCCGTCTTCAGGGCAGCTCGGGGCAGTCTTGGTCCGTCGGGACGGCTGTCTGATCGGCCTGGGACCTGTGTGGCCGCCCCCAACAGCGGGCCCTGGCCCCGAAGAGAGAGGTGCATGGGCAGGAAAAGTAAGCGCCGACGCTGCCGCCGCCAGGCACTGTGAAACTATGAAGCCACCCAGCGTCGCCAGTTCCACGGGCAGGTGGTCTCTAAAAATATGTTCGTGCAAGCCCTTCTCGCCAAATTTTCGGGCCCCGGGCCTGCTCCCCCGGCCCCAGCGACAAGGGTCGCTGCCGCTCCACCCATTGACAGAGACAAAGAACACATGTGCCAATCAGGCGGCGTCCCAGGAACGGTCTCAGGTTTTTGGACCGGAGGGCACATGTAGACGTACATGAAGGTGTCTGGGGAAGCCTCTCAGAAGCCCGTTGGGGCCCTCTTGGGGGTCTCCTGGGGGCTTCCTGCGAAACTCGGGGTGCCTCTTGGAAGCCTCTTGGGGGGGGCCTCTGGAAGCCCTTGGGGGCCTGCCGCGGGCGTCTTGGGGGCCTTTTTGGGCCTCTTGGGAGTCTCTTAGGGGCCTCTTGGGGGCCTCCTTTTTTTTCGTTTCAACCCCAACGAGTTTTCTCCTCCCAAAAGGCGAAGGGCGAGACGGGCAGTCGACTAGCAAGCCTCTGAATCTCCCGTGAGAAGAGCAGGATTTGCAAGAGGTACACAGAATTAAAGTAGCCCCATCAGAACATTCCAAGCCGATGCAGGAGCGGGGGGGCTGGAAGGTTCAGTTGGGTGTCCCCTCTTGGGCCCCTCTTGGGGCCCTTCGGGGACGCGTTTGGGCCGTCCTGGGCGCCTCTTGGACTGTCCGGGGCCCCTCTGGGGCCGTCTTGGGGCTCTCTTGTGGGCTGCGTGGGCCGTCTTGGGGCGGTCTATGGAGAGTCGGAGGTCGTAAAGGACGGTACGAACACCAAAAAATCGAATATGGTAAAAATGTAATACGTTTTACGACGGGCGCGGGGCTATTTTTGCTTCCCAGGGCCGTCTGGGGGGATCTCTTGGAGGGGTCTTCGAGCGTCTTGGAGGCGTCTGGGGCGGTCTGGGGCGGTTCGAGACGCCTCTTGAGCCGCCGGAGACCGCTGGAGGTTGTCTTCAGGGTGGCTGTGGGCGGCCTGAAGCCGCCTGGACGGCCGTCTGGGCGCTCCGGGGGGCGACCTGGGGCCCGCCGGGGAGCGGGCTGGGCCCGACGTCCCCCCGTTTGCGGTCGGGGCTGCGGCCCCGGGGCCCCCGGGCCCGGTGCGGCGTTATATGTTATCTATATATATATATATATATATATATATATATACATACATAGGTATTTCCCATAGGAATGGCACGATTTTTGTTTCTTGGACCTCTCTTGGGGTGCCTCTCGGAACGTCTTGGGGTGCTTTTGGGAGCCTTTTGGCGCCTCTTGGCGGCATTTTGGCGCCTCCTGGAGCCTCTTGGGCCGGAAGCTCGGAATTCGAGGTTGGCTTTCTCCGTCTGGGACCCCTCTCGAACTCGTCTTGGGGCTCTCTTCGGCCGTCTTGGGGCCGTCCTGGGCCACTCGTGCGCAGCCTTGGAGCGCTCCCGGAGGCCTCGTAGACCGTCTTGGGCGCCTCTTGGGCCGTCTTGGACGCGGTGAAAGCCCAAGAGGCGAACATGCGAAAAATATACGTTTTCCCATAGGAATGGCACGATTTTTGCTTCTTGGGCCTCTCTTGGGCTGCCTCTCGGAGCGTCTTGGAGGCTTCTGGGACCTTCTTGGTGTCATGACAGGCGTCTTGGAAGGCATCTGGAGCCATCGGAGCGCGTTCCGAAGCCGCCTGCGAACGATCTTGGACGGCGTCTGGCGGTCCGACGAGCCTCCGGGCCCCCCGGGGCCCACATTTGCGGTCGGGGTCCCGGCCCCGGGCCCCCGGACCCGGTGCGCCGTCATATGTATATTATTATTATTATTATTATTATTATTAGTATTAGTATTATTGTTATTAGTATTATTATTATTAGTAGTAGTAGTAGTAGGCGGGTAGTAGGTGGTAGTAGTAGTAGTAGTAGTAGTAGTAGTAGTAGTAGTAGTAGTAGTAATATTATTAGTATTAACATTCTTATTCGTATTATTATTAGCAATGTTAATATTATAAGTATTCGTATTATTAGTACGATTATTATTATTGTGATTATTATTATTCGTATTATTATCATCATCATCATCAGCAGCATCATCATCATCATCATCAGCATCAGCATCATCATCATCATCATCATCATCATCATCATCATAATCATCATTAGTATATATAGATGAAAGAGAGGGAGAGAGAGAAAGAGAGAGAGAGAGAGAAACAAAAAATGAGAGAGAGAGAGAGAAATAGAAAGAGAAAGAGAGAGAGAGAGAGAGAACAAAGAGAGAGAGAGAGAGAGAGAAAGAGAGAGAGAGAGAGAAAGAGAGAGAGAGAAAACAAAAAGCTACTTAGCGTGCAATCTGGAAGAATGCTAGCTCAAAATAAGTCTGCGGACACCCTCCCGAGCGAAGGAACGTGCCACCAAGAGAACGTGGGAAAGAGAACTGGAGTAACCTCCTGGCCGTCTGCGCACATCACTCGTCCAGGGGGCTGCTTGCAGGTGACCCAAACAGAGCTAGTGCTACGGGGTCTTATGTTTGTGGTTCACGACTGATCATGCTCTGAAACATATGATGCGAAACGATACGATACGATACGACCACCGCTGCGGACATCGTCTGGGCGTAACTAAGACCAGGTGGGCAAGGCCTTGGCCTAAGAAATCTGGCGTGTCTGGACAA